CTTCACTCACCTGATCCCAAGCCCTAGCCGAGCCTCCCTCCTGAGTCCAGGCTGAGCCCAGTGGGAGCCCACCCCCCTCCCAGCCCCAGCCAGCTGGGAACACGTACCTCAAACTGTGGCCAGTTCATGGCCATCCCCGGCCCATGCGTGCCACGCCACCAGCGCAGATCCTCTTCGTCACTGGCTGCCTCGATGCTCTGATGCAGGTCACGGTGGAGTTCTTGGAACCTGTGGCCCAAGGCACAACCCTCAGGCTGGGAAGCCCTGGGCCCCTGCACCCCTCAATCTCATTCAGCCCAGCCAGAACCCAGGAAAGATGGAGGATGACCCCCCAGCGTCACCCCCCACCTCCATGCCCACTCTGCAGGCCATACTTCTCGCTGCTGGAGAGGTCGAGGTGCTGATGGAAGGTGAGCAGCATATCCTTGAAGAAGAGAAGCCGCTGGCGCTCAGCGGCCTGGCAGCTCTCGAATGCCTGCTCCATGTCCTCCATGTAGCGCGGGGTGTAGCGATGCAGCTCTGCCAACGTCTGCTCATACTGGGTTTTCACCTGAGTGGGCGAGGAGGAGGCCTGGTGAGGACAAGACCTTCTTCCGCTCAGGACTCCACTAGTATTTCCTGGGAACCACCGTGGGCTAGACCTTGAGCTAGGCACCAGGGGCAAGTCGTCCTAAAACCGGGCTCCTGCCCCCAAGGACCCCAGCAGCCTAATAAGGGGAGTGACATTCGGACACAGCAGCTTTAAGAGTCTGATGAGGGGCCAGCCGGGTGGCACAGCAGTTAAGTATGCACGTTCCACTTCAGCAGCCCGGGGTTCACCGGTTTGGATCCCGGGTGCGGACATGGCACCGCTTGGAAGCCATGCTGTGGCAGGCGTCCCACATATAAAGTAGAGGAAGATGAGCATGGATGTAAGCTCAGGGCCAGTCTTCCTCAGCAAAAAGAGGAGGATTGGCGGCACATGTTAGCTCAGGGCTAATCTTCCTTAAAAAAAAGGTAAAAATAAAATAAAAATTAAAAAATATAATGTGAGTCTGATGAGTTTAGGGGGCCGGCCCTGTGGCCGAGTGGTTAAGTTCGCACACTCTGCTTCAGCGGCCCAGGGTTTCGCTAGTTCAGATCCTGGGTGTGGACATGGCACTGCTCATCAGGCCACGCTGAGGTGGCATCCCACGTGCCACAACTATGAAGGACTCACAACTAAAAATATACAACTATGTACTGGGGGGCTTTGGGGAGAAAAAGGAAAAATAAAATCTTTAAAAAAAAAAAGTCTGATGAGTGGAGAGTGAGATGAAGTCCACCTGTGGGGAGAAATCAGAAAAGGCTTCAGGGAGGAGGTGGAAATGGACCAGCAGCTCAGAGGACGGGAGGATTTAGAAACACAGAGCTGGAGGAAAGGGCGCTCTGGCCGAGCAGGCAACGAGAGAACTTGTTGCAGGTGGTACACTGTGAAAGGAAAGGAGCTGGGAAGGTGTCAACTGCTAAAATTATCCCAATGCCTGAAATGGCACCATTTCTTTCCTCGGGTAAAGCATCATCTTCGCTCAGGTTCCTGGATAAGGTAGAGAGAGCGTGGCAGGTGGGGATTAGAGTAATAAGAGTGCTGGAGCAGCCCGGTGGTGTAGTGGTTAAGTTCATGTGCTCTGCTTCGGTGGCCCGGGGTTTGCAGGTTCAGATCCCAGGCCAGGACCTAGCACCGCTGTGGCAGCCTCCCACATAAAATAGAGGAAGATTGGCACAGATGTGAGCTCAGCGACAGTCTTCCTCAAGCAAAAGGGAAAATCAGCAACAGATGTTAGCTCAGGGCCAATGTTCCTCACCAAAAAAAAAAAAAGAGTGCCGGGGACTGGAAAAGGCCCTCAGGAGCCCTGAGCTGGGCTGGCCAGTCCTGCAGCCTGTACCTTCTCGGCCTCCTTGGTGCAGCGTTCCACACGCTCCTGCAGCTTGCGCAGCTGCTCCTGGGAGACGGCACTGTCTGCCTTCGCGTGACTCTCCCGAGTCTGGGCAGTCTTCTCCTCCTTCCGGGCTGCGTGGTAGCTCTTCTTGGAGGCCTCAACCTGGCGCACATGGGGACAACTCTGGACCCTGCACACCACACCCTGGCCCGCTGCAGCCCCCTGCAGCCCCCTGCAGCCCCAGGAAGGGGCCTGCCTCTGAGGCCCATCTCTCCCAGGCTCACCTCCTTCAGCCTCTTTAGCCAGGGCTTCTGGGCCTTGCGGAAGCCATCCTCGGCAGCCCGGCTCTCTCGGAAGCCACCCAGCACAGGCCGGTGGAAGGCACCCCGCTGCCAGGCGCGCACCCGCTCGCTGTCCTGCCCCTGCAGCTTCTCCCGAACCTCGAGGTGCAACACGCTCAGCCGCTCGGCCGCAGTGAAGAAGGCGTGCCAGGCCTTCTCCAGTGTGCCATACTGAGGGCCTGCAGGGAGGCACGGGGCTGGGGGCAGGCCAGGGATGCCCCTGGAAACAAGCTCGCCCCCCTCAGTGGGTGCTGCTCTGGGTGCCAGGCACAGACGGGGGACGATGTCAGCTCCTACTGATTGAACACCGACTCTGTGCCCTAACATACGAGATCTCACTGGATCCTCACCTTATACCCCACTGTGAAGACAGTGTCATGATCAACATTTCACAAGCGAAGAAACGGAGACCCAGAGAAGTGAAGTGAATTACCCAAAGCATTACAGCTACAAGTGGATCTGAGATTCGAACCCAGGTCTACGGCATAAACCACTACACTCTGTTGCCTCCAGGGGAAGAGCCTGTGTCTGTCCTCCAGGAAGGCAGCTTGTTAGGTTGGAAAGATCCCAAGTGCCCGAGTCAAAAGGACTGGGCTTCAGCTCCCCCTAGCTGTGTGACTTCAGACCAGTCACTTAGCCTCTCTGAACTTCCGGATTCTCCTCTAGAGAATGGGTAGAACAGGACCATCACCATCAAAGCGTTGTTAGAAATACCAAAATAACTCATGACCATACTTTGCAAACTCTAACAGGATGGCGATGAGAATAACCAGGAGGATCTTCTCTCTTTAAAGGGAAGGCGACCAGATGTGCAAAAAGAAACTGCTGTGCCTGGTCCTCCCACCCCCGGCGGCTCTCTGCTCCTGGCTAGACCCAAGCGCGGGCTCACCCTTCTCCACGGCACCCCTCCACTTGCGGGCCCAGTCGGCCAGCTGCTGGGCATAGGCCTTCTCGATGCGGGCACGCTCCTGGAAGCAGCTGACCAGGTCCCCGCATAGCCGATGCCCATCCTCCACCCGCTGCACCGTGCGCCTGTAGTTGCCAGCCTGGGACATACACAAGAAGGATGGCGTCACCCTGGAGAAGCTCCCTTGAGGCCTGGGGCTGACAGCGAGACTCCTCCTCTGGACAGGTGGCTGTTCCCAGAGTGGGGTGGGCACTTCAGAGCCACCCCCAAAGCGGGGACCCAGCTGCTCACCTCCCAGAAACTGCCTTCCAGGGCCTCCCCTCCAGCGTCTTCCTCTGGTGCCATGGTGTCCCCGCAGCACGGAATGGTGGCGGATTGGGCCTGGGAAGGGCAGAGGGGTAAGCAGGGAAGCCAACAGACGCTTTGGGGGACAGGAAAAGACCCTCTCCTACCCCTGGGCTTTGCCCGCACTACCGTCCCCACCACCCAAGGAACTAAACGTCAGAGCTATGACTTAGCAGGCAGGGGTCTGGAAGTCCCCAGGAAGGGCCAGGAGAGGGGCGAGCATGGCAGTTTCCAAGCTCCTCCTCTCACCGGGGTCTGCCCTTCCCCTCCACTTCACCCCACATACCTGGGGGCCTAGAGATCAGTTCAGGGACCTGGCCGTCCACCTCTCAGAGCTGCCACTGTGAGTCTGCTTGAAGCTAACAAGAGCAAAGGAGGGGGTGAGGGCGGGGGCCTGGTGAGGCCAGGGCGGTGCCCAGCTCCCCCGATATAGCAACTGCTGTCAGAAGAGCCAGATTCCAGCCAGGAGAATGCCAGGCGGGTCACACGATCCAGCTGGGGATTAGATGGCAGGCGGGGGTGGGTGGTGGGCAGAGGGCCCCACTCCCCCAACTGCAGATGAGAGAAGAGGACGCCTGCCCAAGCCGGGGCCCTGTGGCCTTTCCTTCAACAACAAGGCGACCCTCTTCCAGACCAGGCCAAGTCAGCCTGCACCCAGCCACACCCCAGAGCTCCCTGTGCTGGGAAGAGCAGACTGGAAGCCAGGAGGCCTGAGTCTTCCCTTGGCCAAGAAGCTTGAGCAAGTGCATTTTACTGTCTTCTCCCAAGGGAGCCTCAGCTCCCTCTAAAGATGGAAATCCCGCCTCCTGGTCTGCTTCTGTGCTAGGGCTGAGGTAAGACCCAACCCAGCAATGACCAAGTATGTGATGGGCCCAAGAGTGACAAGGAGACACTCATCCTGTCCCACGGCATCCACTGAGGTCCCATTGGGCGCTGTGGGTAATGAGCAACCCAGCCCCGCCCTCACAAAGCCCAGACTCCAGGGCAGCATGGGGGAGTCAGACAGGTGATCGGCCAGTTATAAGAGTGTTCTCCAGAATCGCAGAGAAGAGCAAGGCAGATTCCAACCGCAGAGCCACCACCCAGGGGCTAGAGGACACAGTGGCATGTGGCCGCTCCCCTCTGCCTCCAGGCAGGGTCTCAGCTGTCCCTAGCATGGACTCAAGCCCCTAGAAGGAAATCGCTTCCTCTCTGAGCAAGCCCAAGGGACACTGTCAGGCCCAGGAGGACAGAGTCTGTGTCCACTGCCCCTAAAGCAGAGCTCCATCACAGACCTCTACCCATCCTTCAAAACTCAAATTGAGGCATCTTCTCCACGGTCACCCCCCATTCCTCCATCCTCATTCCCACAGCCCCTTGTGACCCCTCAGTCAGGGTATATATCCCACTGGGTTGTGACTGACAGGACAGGAATGGTCCCCAGGCATTGACAGAGACTTCCTGGGGGTCCAGTTTGCGTTTCTCCAGACACTGGAGTTAGTAGTTGAATGAAAAAACAAGTGACATTCACCTGAAGACCAGGAAACCCCCTGGCTACGGCAGCTGTGAGCAAGCTCAGCCTGAGGGAGCTTCCACCCCTGAGCCAACAGGAGGGAGAGCTCGGGCCTGCAATGGAGGTGGCCGGGCACAAGCAGGAGAGGGCAGAGCAGCTGGCCCCACCAGGGCCCTCAGTGCTTCACCTTGCTTCCCATTTGCCCAGAAAGGACTGCCAACCAGATGGAGAGAAACAGAGCTGCAGCTGTAAATCACAGGCCCTTTGGAGCTGTCCCAGTCAGGCATCCAGGGGCCTGGGCCCCCTGCCTGCTCCAGCTCCATGCTCCGGCTCCCGGGAGAGCTGCCCCCCACCCTTCCCTCTCTCTGGCCCCAGAACAGAGCGGGCTGTGTGTGCAGGGCTGGCACTGCTCCCTCCGGCCTCCCAGAGCAAACACAAGCCCAAGCCCCAGGCACAGCCAGGCCCCAGAGCCCGGGCTTGATCGAGCTGTGGGGGTGGCCTTGCGCCTGGGCCCCTGGTGAGGAGGGCCAGCACCCTGGGCTTCCTGACTTCAGCAGAGACCCAGATCGGTCCCCAGAACACACTCCGCCACAAGCAGGAGCTCAGAAAGCAGATAATGAATGCTCCAGCCCAGAGAGCCAGCACCTACGGGGCCCTGAGGAGTCCACTGGGGTTTGGCACGGTCTCCTCATAGCTGCCTGGGCCAAGGTAGGGAGTCCCGGGGTTCAGGGAAGAACCACTCTCCCCACCTGAAGCTGGTAGGTATCGGCGCCCACACTAGTCCCCACCCTTCCCAGAAGCTGGGGGCATGCCCCTGGGAGGGAGCATTGCCATCCTGCCCTGCCCATCCTCGGTCCTGAGTCACAGGCTGCGCCCAGGGGCCTCTTCTCCCAGCAGCCCCTCCCGGTCTGCCCGCAGCTTGGGCTTTGAAGGCACAGGAGGGTGCAGGGGACTGGTCCAGAGAGGGGCACCTAGGCTAGAGCGGCTGGAACCAGCAGCCAGGGCGGCCGAGGCTGGGGGAAGGGGTGGCGCGGGGGAAGGGGAGGAGGCAGGGCCAGGGAGGGTCATAACAAAGGGGCACTTTTGGAAACCCGACCTGCCGGCTGAGGTGCCTGCTCCCCGATGACGCACACCAAACCTCGGAGGCCAGGGGCTGCCCGTCTGGGGCCTCAGCCCTCATGGACGGCGCCCTTCGACCGGCCCCGCTTGCCGGCCCGGCGCTGCCCAGCTCGGCCGTGGAGCCCACGCGGAGCGGCCGGGCCAGGCCTAGCCATGGAGGCTCTAGGACTTCTTGGCCAAACTTGTTGAATTTGGTCTCGGCGGGGGTGGGGCCAGCCGATCACCGCTGAGGGGAGGGGGTGCACCCTGCCTGGGCCAGGCCGGCCGGGGACTGCCGATGGTGGCCCGGGGCAGCGCCCCAGGAATTGGGGCTCTTTGCACAGGGCAAGAGATCGCCGGGGAGCGAGGCCCCTTCTGGGGCCCCAGGGCGGCTTGGGGCCTTTGAGGCGCCCCAGGAGCTGGGGTGGCTCTCCAGCCCCGACGTCCCCCTGCCCCCGGCCGGCCTGGGAAATTGCGGGGTGCGCGGCGCCGCACAGGAGACGCCCCCTCGGCTCGGCTGCAGCTCTTCCCGACCTCACGCAGAGCGGGGTGGCCTGGGGCTCCCGGGGTGGGAGTCGGTCCCGTCGCAAACTTCAGGAGCGGGAGGAGGAGAGGGCGCGCTCCAGCCACGGGTCCTGCCGCCCCTTCCCCGCGGTCCCCCCCGCCCCGGGGCAGCACTCACCGCGTCCTCCCTGCGCGCCTTGGCGGGCGGGGGTCCGGCCACGTTCCGGCCCGAGTCCTGCCGTTCCCGGGCCGGGGCCACCGCCTCCCGGAGCGCGCCGGGCCCTCCCCCGGGAAGCCCGGCCCCCCGCCCCGCCCTCTCCTCGCCACCGCGGCCCCAACCCCACCGGCGGGCGGCGAGGGCGCAGGGACCGCGGGCATCGCGGCCACCGGCGGCTCCCGGGGCGCAGGCCGTGGGGTCTCGGCTCTCGCCTGAGAAGCGCCAGGGCCGACTCCCAAGGGTGGCGCCTCGCCGCTAGAAGGAGTCAGATTTCGGCTTTGCCCCTCCCCGGCCTTTGCAGAGCCTGGGAGACCGGTGGAAGCGGGAAGGGATCGGGCCTGCACGGGCACCCCTTGGGGGGCCGCTTCGGGGGCTACACTGCCCTACATGTTTTTGCTGAGCACAGCTTTCTTAGAAGGTAGCTCCGGCGAGGCTCACCACCACCCCTTTGTAAGCATTAGGATTCCCATTGTACAGATGCGGAAACTGAGGCTCGGAGACCTTCAGCAGCTTGCACAAGATTTGTAGTCGGGCAGGACCCGCACTCCAAAGCCGTGCCCTCTCTCTGCCGAGCCCTGCCTGCCAATCTGGGGGCGCTTTCTGAGGACTGGGTCAGACATGCGGTGGTGGGGGGTGGGGCAAAAAGCCACGAGCTCCACCCCCCCCGTGTTATTCCCAGCTTTTGTCCCACGATTCATTCTTAAATCTCTTCTCCCCACCACCCGCTTTGTCAGTCACCAGCTTTAGTAGATTTTTCCAGATTGCCAAGATCCCACCCCCACCCTTCATAAATCCCTTCTCATTCATCCCCTTACCCCCACCCCAGGGATTTTTCGGAGCCTGCCCGTCTGTTATTTATATCCACTGGAGCGGTCCAAGAATGTTCCTAGGCTGACCTAATCGCCACCTGCTTGGCTTCCCCGCCCCTCCCGCTCGCTCCTGGGCCGGGTGACCCAGCGGCCGTGCCCTCCGCCTGGCACGAGAGGCGAGAGGCGGCGCAGGTCGGCTGGGTCCGACGCACAGAGCGCTCCGAGGGTCCAGATGGCGCAAATTCGCTCCGGTTTGGAGAGCCCCCCTCGCGCTCCGGGGAGTGCGCCCCCAGGGGGATGCCGTGGCGCTCTGGGAGGCCAAGGGCCACGCTGCTTTCTCTCCAGCACGTACTCTTCGTTCCCACCCCCTACATCCACCCCCAACTCCCTGAGGAGTGTGAGTACTTGTGCGCGGATTTTGAAACGCCAGCTTTAAAAATAGCAAAATTGGGTTGTTTCTAAATCCGGGAGAAGTCACGGACGCGTTGTTTAGGCAGCTAAATCCGCTCATAAAATGAAAAAGGGGCCTGAAGAGAATGAATGGGGATAATTTCAGGTGGTAATATTAGCTGCTGCGGGCTGACATGCTCCGCGGTCCTAGTGGGAGGGTGAAACTGCCCGTGGGCACCCAAGACGCACGCGAATCATCCCTGCGTAGTGGATCCTTGCGGTGGCGTTCACAGGGTGTGTACCCAGCAGGAGACGGTTTCCGGAACCAGTTTCAACACCCACTCTTTGTTGGGGCTTGGACAAGTCCTTTTTCTCCATGTCTCTGTATCTACCTCTATGAAACATGACAGGTGGCCCGGCTGACCTCCCAAATGAGCCTTGTTCCCCAGCTAATGAATGATTGCTAAACAGCTGCAAATGAGAAGTGGTGGGGTAATGTCTAATGACAGCCACAGTGTTTTACATTATTTAAAATCAGTTAACATCCCACCTAGTGCCTGGGGGCCTTTAGGCACCTAGACAGAAAGTGTGAAAACACAAGAATGAAATTAATTACAGGAGGCACCTATTAAAACCCCATTAAAAGTAAAGGCTGCGAGCCAGGCTCTGGGACCTGGGGAAGCAGGCCATGGAGAGACTCAGAGAACAGGGCTGCTCATCAGAACACAAGGAGAAGGGGATACCGAGTGGAAACATCTGGTTTCCTTTGGGTTCAAAGCTGGAAGCAGATAGCAGCTGATCTTAATTGCCCCTAAGTTACTGGAGGGAGGAAAAATAAACGAAAACCCAGAGCATACTGAGCCACTTGAAAGGTGAAAGGAGACAGGGCTGCTCTTGGAAAGCCAATTTCTATGCTCTACAGCCAGAGCCCGTACACACTCACAAGGCTCTGTCAGTGTGGTACGGTACCCAACTCGAACAGAGTTCAGGATGAGATGCCCGAGGTCAGAGAACTGGATGGACAGAAACCTAGAGAGGCGGCTTGGCCCGGGGCACCAGGTGGCAGACAGATCCAAATCCCAAGCTCACAACACTCACAGACTCACTCACCTTGAGCTTCTGGAATGTCCTAACCACTGTGCCTTCGTTTGTTTATTTACTTATGCATTCATTCATCCAGTCAAGAAAACATTTGGATTTTTGCTCGATGGTAAGCCCTACGCTGGGTGTTGGGAAGACAAAGATAACTAAGGCAGAGCCCTAAGCGTACAGGATACAATGTGGCTATGAGGTATTAGGGGAAAACAGAGGCCGAGAGACCACCCTTCACCAGGCGATGACACTTGATTGGTCTTGATGAGCAGGAATGAGTCATGTGGAGAGCCATTCTTGGCAGGAGCACCAGGGTGTGCCAAGCCCCAGAGATGTTAGCATATGACTTAGTGACCCAGCAATTCCACTTCTTGGTATCCATCCTAGACAAACATGCATCCCAGTGCAGAAAAAGGTACAAAGAAGGTTGCAAATAGTGTTGTTTGCCATAAGGGAAAACTGGAAACAAATGTCCATCAAGAGCGCCATGGTTGAATAACCTAAAGTTCATCATGCTATGGATTACTCTACAACATTAAAGCACGAGGTAGGGGCCAGCCCCGTGGCCGGATGGTTAAGTTCGCACACTCCACTTTGGTGGTCCAGGCTTTCGCCAGTTCGGATCCTGGGCACGGACATGGCACTGCTCGTCAGGCCATGCTGAGGCGGCATCCCACATGCCACAGCTAGAAGGACCCATAACTAAAAATATGCAACTATTTACCGGGGCAGCTTTGGGGAGGAAAAAGGAAAAATAAAATGTTAAAAAAAAGAAAAGCACAAGGTAGACGGAGATGTGTTCTTATGTGAAGACCTGCAAGACACTGTTGAATGAAAAAAGCAAAGTGCAGGCCACACAAAATATTCAGAGAGAGTGAATACACACCCAACTGATTCTGGTGATTATCTCTCGGGAGAGGTGTAGAATTGGTAAAGGAGAGTTTTGTAATGGTAGAAAATTATAGAGAACGTACTTATGTGTAAATTGTCTAAAGTTTTTTAAAAGATGGTGAGTGGGTCTCATTGTCTAAAACAGTGCTGTCTGATAGAATTTTCTTCAATGATGGAAGTATTCTGTAGCTGCACTGTCCCATACGGTAGCCACTAGGCATATGTGGCTTTTGAGCACTTGAAATGCGGCTAGTGTGACTGAGGAACTGAATTTTTAATTTATTTTAATTAATTAAAAAATTAACAGCCACATGCGGATAGTGGGAACTGTATTGGATAGTTCCGGTCTAGAGTATCTGGAATATTGAGTTCAGGATGGGGTGGAAGCAGATGGAAGATGAGGCTGGGAAGATGGGCTGGTCGGCTAAGGAGTTTGGACTCTCTCCTGGAGGCAGTGAGAAGCGTGAATGCGAGGGACTAGATTAGATTTATCCTTTTAAAAGATAACTCTGGCTCCCTGCAGAGGGTAGATTAGAGCAGGCAGGGTTTGTCTCCTCCGCAGGGTGCTGTGTCTTTCTCCGCGGCCTCTGGACATTGCCCCAGCATTCCTGACGGGCCGCTGAGTAAAGTATTCTGATTCAACAGCTATGTTTTTAAGATCTCAAGAAATCCCAGGTGGAAAAACTGGTCTGAGTTAGGGAGAGGGG